GTTTAACCCACTGCGCCACCGGGGGATACCTGTGAAAAGATGTTTGTTATGAAGCAGGCCTGCACAACCTGTGACTCTCGAGGTGTTTTGAACTTAAGCCACTATTTAAGGCAGTGGTTCTCAACCTGTGGGTCCCCAGATGTTTTGGCCTTCAACTCACAGAAATCCTAACAGCTGGTAAACTGGGATTTCTGGAAGTTGTAGGCCAAAACACCTGGCCTACATGGATCATGGATTTTATGTTCATCTGCACACTTTTTCATCTTTTGCTCCTGTTGAAAATATGTCTCATTAGGATGCAAAACGGATCAAACTCATATGGCGATGATCTCCATATATAAAAAACATGATATTTCTGCTAATGTTTTGTCTTATTATGGGAAAGACCTAAGACTAAGTAGAGGATGAACTTGTGGAAGCTCTCTGATTTTCACCAATGGATATTTTTGCTCAGAAGCTTTCATGGGTGTTTGTTATCCTATCATTAAATATATATGGGGCTTTTAGGGTTGAGAGTATATGTCTTCTGAAAGATCACCCAGTAGGTTTTGGCTGAATGTGAAATCAAACCCTTATCTCAAAATGTTAGCCTATATTAGTTCTGATCTAAGATTTGCATTGTATTTACATATGGTCAATATTTCCAGAATTATTTTTGAAACAGTCTCAACCTCTGCAATGTAATAGGAGATGTACTTTCAAAGGAGTCAGGGACCTTCTAAGGAGATACTGATTTAAGGAGATACTGAGTACCTGTTTGCACAACCTCTACAACTGATCTTTTGAAATGCTGGAACATATCTCCATGGCTAGAAACACTTCTCCCGCTAACCATAATCAGGTGCTACATAAACATTTCCCAGTCAGTTGTTGGCAAAGGAGCTGCAACCCAGCATTGAAACAAGCAGTTGCTCTGGGATGGAAAGGGAAGGATCGGAGATTATGCTCCTGTAACAGCCTGATAAGATTTTAGCCATCTTATTCCAATCCATCAAGTTCACAGATTGTATTAAATGATTCCACTGTACATTATATGTGTCAGTAGCACCACCCAATAACAGTGGTAACAGTGTTTCCATACTCATGAATGCATTTTAACCAGAAGAGCGGTATCAAAAGAATATGACAAACAGAATTGCATGTTTAAAAAGTTCCTTTGCTTGTGTTAGTCTGAGATGGAAAGCTTTGCTTATGCAGCTACATATGTGTGCAGCCACTCATTAATTTTTACCTATCTAATGAGTGTTACTGAATCAAAACTTAAAAGCCTACCAAAAACATTCAATCCTAAATTTCTTACATGAAAGAAAACTTGTACAGACAGCTACAGTCCTTGGAGACAAAAAAGGGGGGAAATGCCAATGCTGAGTATAATTTCGTTCAACTTAAGAGATGGAATAAATTAAATGTTCCAATTGTACTATCTGCAGTGAAAGGGAAGTTTTGGCTTTCACATTGCAGATAAATCGCTTATAGCAGCGGTTCTCAACTTGGGGGTCACGACCCCCAAGGGGGTCACTGGGCCATTTTCGGGGGGGTCGCGAAGCCGCCTCGGTTGCCCCCCCCCAAAATGGCTGCCGGCTCCTGTGTGAGCCAAACAGCCGCGGCCATGGAGGAGGCCTTCCCCGCTCGCCTCCTGCGCCCCCCGGCTTCGGAGGACGCAAGAGGCGACTGGGAGGCCCTCTCCATGGCTGCAGCCATGAAGGAGGCCTTCCCCACTCGCCTCGTGCGCCCTCCGGCTTCGGAGGACGTGAGAGACGACTGGGAGCCCCCCCCCCCATGGCTGCAGCCATGAAGGACGCCTTCCCCGCTCGCCCCCTGCGCCCTCCGGCTTCAGAGGAGCATTCTGAACTACACCAACAGTAGAATTGAACCAAACTTGGCATACAGGACTTTCATGGCCCACGGAAAATACTGGAGGGGTTGGGAAAAATAGACCCTGACATTTGGGAATTGCAATTGTGTGAATTATAGTTCACCAGGCACCAAAGAGCATTCTGAAATACACCAACAATAGAATTGAACCAAACTTGGCATATAGGACTTCCATGACCCACGGAAAATATTGGAGGGATTTGGGGGAGGTATTAACAAAAGATTAGATTTGTCCTACCTTCAGTTTCTGAAGAGCCTTCTTTGCTGCCTGGACAGGGGAAAGACGGCTGGGAGACCCTCGTGCCTTCACAGGCTGGAGGGCGCAGGAGGCGAGCGGGCTGCAGCCATGGAGGGGGCCTCCCGGTCGCCTCTCGCGTCCTCCGAAGCCGGAGGGCGCAGGAGGCGAGCGGGGAAGGCCTCATCCATGGCTGCAGCCATGGAGGGGGCCTCCCAGTCGCCTCTGGCGTCCTCCGAAGCCGGTGGGCGCAGGAGGCGAGCGGGGAAGGCCTCCTTCATGGCTGCAGCCATGGAGGGGGCCTCCCGGTCGCCTCTCGCGTCCTCCGAAGCCGGGGGCAGGAGGCGAGCGGGGAAGGCCTCCTTCATGGCTGCAGCCATGGAGGGGGCCTCCCGGTCGCCTCTCGCGTCCTCCGAAGCCGGGGGACGCAGGAGGCGAGCGGGGAAGGCCTCCTTCATGGCTGCAGCCATGGAGGGGGCCTCCCGGTCGCCTCTCGCGTCCTCCGAAGCCGGGGGCGCAGGAGGCGAGCGGGGAAGGCCTCCTTCATGGCTGCAGCCATGGAGGGGGCCTCCCGGTCGCCTCTCGCGTCCTCCGAAGCCGGTGGGCGCAGGAGGCGAGCGGGGAAGGCCTCCTTCATGGCTGCAGCCATGGACGGGGCCTCCCGGTCGCCTCTCGCGTCCTCCGAAGCCGGAGGGCGCAGGAGGCGAGCGGGGAAGGCCTCATCCATGGCTGCAGCCATGGAGGGGGCCTCCCAGTCGCCTCTCGCGTCCTCCGAAGCCGGTGGGCGCAGGAGGCGAGCGGGGAAGGCCTCATCCATGGCTGCAGCCATGGAGGGGGCCTCCCAGTCGCCTCTCGCGTCCTCCGAAGCCGGTGGGCGCAGGAGGCGAGCGGGGAAGGCCTCCTCCATGGCTGCAGCCATAGAGGGGGCCTCCCAGTCGCCTCTCGCGTCCTCCGAAGCCGGAGGGCACAGGAGGCAAGCGGGGAAGGCCTCCTTCATGGCTGCAGCCATGGAGGGGGCCTCCTGGTCGCCTCTCGCGTCCTCCGAAGCCGGAGGGTGCAGGAGGCGAGCGGGGAAGGCCTCCTTCATGGCTGCAGCCATGGACGGGGCCTCCCGGTCGCCTCTCGCGTCCTCCGAAGCCGGTGGGCGCAGGAGGCGAGAGGGGAAGGCCTCCTTCATGGCTGCAGCCATGGAGGGGGCCTCCCGGTCGCCTCTCGCGTCCTCAGAAGCCGGGGGACGCAGGAGGCGAGAGGGGAAGGCCTCCTTCATGGCTGCAGCCATGGAGGAGGCCTTCCCCGCTCGCCTCCTGCGCCCTCCGGCTTCGGAGGACGCGAGAGGCGACTGGGAGGCCCCCTCCATGGCTGCAGCCATGGACGAGGCCTTCCCCGCTCGCCTCCTGCGCCCACCGGCTTCGGAGGACGCGAGCGGGGAAGGCCTCCTCCATGGCTGCAGCCATGGAGGGGGCCTCCCAGTCGCCTCTCGCGTCCTCCGAAGCCGGTGGGCGCAGGAGGCGAGCGGGGAAGGCCTCCTTCATGGCTGCAGCCATGGACGGGGCCTCCCGGTCGCCTCTCGCGTCCTCCGAAGCCGGTGGGCGCAGGAGGCGAGCGGGGAAGGCCTCCTTCATGGCTGCAGCCATGGACGGGGCCTCCCGGTCGCCTCTCGCGTCCTCCGAAGCCGGTGGGCGCAGGAGGCGAGCGGGGAAGGCCTCCTTCATGGCTGCAGCCATGGAGGGGGCCTCCCGGTCGCCTCTCGCGTCCTCCGAAGCCGGGGGCGCAGGAGGCGAGAGGGGAAGGCCTCCTTCATGGCTGCAGCCATGGAGGGGGCCTCCCGGTCGCCTCTCGCGTCCTCCGAAGCCGGGGGCCGCAGGAGGCGAGCGGGGAAGGCCTCCTTCATGGCTGCAGCCATGGAGGGGGCCTCCCGGTCGCCTCTCGCGTCCTCCGAAGCCGGGGGGCGCAGGAGGCGAGCGGGGAAGGCCTCCTCCATGGCTGCAGCCATGGAGGGGGCCTCCAGTCGCCTCTCGCGTCCTCCGAAGCCGGGGCGCAGGAGGCGAGCGGGGAAGGCCTCCTTCATGGCTGCAGCCATGGAGGGGGCCTCCCGGTCGCCTCTCGCGTCCTCCGAAGCCGGGGGCGCAGGAGGCGAGCGGGGAAGGCCTCCTTCATGGCTGCAGCCATGGAGGGGGCCTCCCGGTCGCCTCTCGCGTCCTCCGAAGCCGGTGGGCGCAGGAGGCGAGCGGGGAAGGCCTCCTTCATGGCTGCAGCCATGGAGGGGGCCTCCCGGTCGCCTCTCGCGTCCTCCGAAGCCGGTGGGCGCAGGAGGCGAGCGGGGAAGGCCTCCTTCATGGCTGCAGCCATGGAGGGGGCCTCCCGGTCGCCTCTCGCGTCCTCCGAAGCCGGAGGGCACAGGAGGCGAGCGGGGAAGGCCTCCTTCATGGCTGCAGCCATGGACGGGGCCTCCCGGTCGCCTCTCGCGTCCTCCGAAGCCGGTGGGCGCAGGAGGCGAGCGGGGAAGGCCTCCTTCATGGCTGCAGCCATGGACGGGGCCTCCCGGTCGCCTCTCGCGTCCTCCGAAGCCGGTGGGCGCAGGAGGCGAGTGGGGAAGGCCTCCTTCATGGCTGCAGCCATGGAGGGGGCCTCCCGGTCGCCTCTCGCGTCCTCCGAAGCCGGGGGACGCAGGAGGCGAGCGGGGAAGGCCTCCTTCATGGCTGCAGCCATGGAGGGGGCCTCCCGGTCGCCTCTCGCGTCCCTCCGGCTTCGGAGGACGCGAGAGGCGACTGGGAGGCCCCCTCCATGGCTGCAGCCATGGAGGAGGCCTTCCCCGCTCGCCTCCTGCGCCCTCCGGCTTCGGAGGACGCGAGAGGCGACTGGGAGGCCCCCTCCATGGCTGCAGCCCGCTCGCCTCCTGCGCCCTCCAGCCTGTGAAGGCACGAGGGTCTCCCAGCCGTCTTTCCCCTGTCCAGGCAGCAAAGAAGGCTCTTCAGAAACTGAAGGTAGGACAAATCTAATCTTTTGTTAATACCTCCCCCAAATCCCTCCAGTATTTTTCGTGGGCATGGAAGTCCTGTATGCCAAGTTTGGTTCAATTCTATTGTTGGTGTAGTTCAGAATGCTCTTTGGTGCCTGGTGAACTATAATTCACACAATTGCAATTCCCAAATGTCAGGGTCTTTTTTTCCCAACCCCTCCAGTATTTTTCGTGGGTTATGGAAGTCCTGTATGCCAAGTTTGGTTCAATTCTATTGGTGTATTTCAGAATGCTCTTTGGTGCCTGGTGAACTATAATTCACACAAGTGCAATTCCCAAATGTCAAGGTCTATTTTTCCCAACCCCTCCAGTATTTTCCGTGGGCCATGAAAGTCCTGTATGCCAAGTTTGGTTCAATTCTATTGTTGGTGTAGTTCAGAATGCTCTTTGATGCCTGGTGAACTATAATTCACACAAGTGCATTTCCCAAAAAGTCAGAGCTGAATCGGTTGGCGGTAATTCCAATCCCTTCATCCATTGTCCATACTCCCCCAAACATACTGTTTTTATCATTAATCACTATGCTTTATGTTCAATTTGTAACAATGGAAATACATTCTGCATATCAGATGTTTACATTACAATTCATAACAGTACAGTTATGATGTAGCAACAAAAATATGGTTGGAGGTCACCACAACATGAGGAAATATATTTAGGGGTCATGGCATTAGGAAGGTTGAGAACCACTGGCTTATAGGAACAGTAAGTAGCTTTGTATGAAATTGGTCCTGATTTAAGTGAATTATGAAAGGGGGGGGGGGGTGAGATTAAAGGAGAAAGTTAAGCAGAACTATTAGTAGGTTTGTAGATTATTTGCATTTAATCAGCAATCTTTTCTAATTCAGTATAATAGCAAAAAGTGTTACTTATCTTCATCCATCCTAAAATTAGTGGTCACTGAACTGTAGTAACCTGCATATAGATTTTGGTCTCTACATGCACATATTATCCATGTACAAGTCACTAGGTAGAAGTAACTGGCTCTGTTCCTCTGACCATTTTAAACTAAGTTCCAGATAGTGGCTGCCATGGTAAAAATCTTTCAAGTGTGAAATCTGTCCAAAACCAGTGTAAATAATTTGTACCATGGGTTTAAATTGGTTCAAAGACCATGAGCATAGTTTAGAACAGAAATTAATGACTAATCCCATGGTTAAACTTTGGAGTGGCTGAAACTCAAATTATGGCCCAGCATGCTTCCTTTTCAATGTGCAATTACAAGACAATATCATTCACAGAAAGGCAAAGTACACGACACCCCTGAATGTTCATGTTATTTTATTGTATTGTCATAGGCTTTCATAGCCGGAATTACTGGGTTGCAGTGAATATTTCAGGCTGTATTGGTCATGTTCCAGCAGTATTATCTCCTAACATTTTGCCTGCATCTGTGGCAGGCATCCTCTGATGTTCTGTTGGCAGTGAAACAAGTGGAGTGTGTCTATCTATCTATCTATCTATCTATCTATCTATCTATCTATCTATCTATCTATCTATCTATCTATGGAATGTCCAGGGTGGGAGAAAGAACCCTTGCCTGTTTAAAGCAAGTGAATGTTGCAGTTAGCAAGCTTGAATTAGCATCTGAGTAGTCATGAAGTTTACAAAGTCAATCAGTGAGGGTTTCTGCATAGAGTAGCCTGGGCTTTGTTGCCTGGAAATGTTAACTGGCACTTGATTTCTTGTTGTCTGCCGTTCTCTTGTTTCTGTGTTTGTTATTTACTATCTTTATTCTGGTTACATCTCGTATAGATTACTGCAATTTGCTGTATGTGGTGTTGCCTTTGAACACAGCTTCAAATGGACCAACAGATGGCAGCCAGATTACTAACAGGAGTGGCGCTCAGGGAACAACTCTGCTGCGCCAGCTCCACTGGCTGCCAGTCTGCTACCGGGCACAATTCAAAATGCTGGCTTTAGCCTATAAAGCCCTACATGGTTCTGGCCCAACTTACCTGTCCAAATGCATCTCCCCTTATGAACCTTCTAGGACTTTAAGACCGTCTGGGAAGGTCTTGCTCTCGATCCTGCCTGCGTCACAAATACGTTTGGTTGGGACGAGACAGGGCCTTCTCGGTGGTGGCCCCTCGGCTATGGAACACCCTTCCTAGGGACATTAGATTAGCTCCCTCCCTCTTAACATTCCAGGAAAGAGTCAAGACTTGGCAAGCATTTGAAAATGCAATGTAATAGACATAGGAATATGGAATGACTGGATAATGAGATGGGACGTTTTAATTAGGAGGTGCAAAGGATTTATGTTTTTATCGCTCTTGTTATGGTTTTATATTATATGTTAATATTTTAACTGTTTTTATGGTGTTGGGCATTGAATTGTTGCCCTGTAAACCACCTTGAGTTGCCTGAGGGCTGAGAAGGGCAGTATACAAATACAGTAAATAAATAAATAAACAAGATTTCATTCATTTTCATGGTTTCCTTCTTTCTGTTGAAATTTTCCACTTGCTTGTGGACTTCTCTGTGTAGTCTGACATGATGGTTGTCAGAGAGGATGGATAGCATCCTTGAAGTGACTGGACTGACCCTGAAGGACATGGGGATGGTGACGGCCGGCAGGGAGCTCTGGCGTGGGATGGTCCATGAGGTCACGAAGAGTCGGAGACGACTGAACGAATGAACAACAAAGATATAATGCCCTGTAGTACTCCATGATTCAATTAGGAAAATGTTTTTAGTTACAGTATGTTTTCAAGATAGGGTTTTGGGGGGAATGGTAGGGGTTTGCCCTTTACACTTAGAGGTTAGATTACTTTTATCAACTTTGTCATTAGATTCCTTCATACATTTCATCATGTTTTGGTATTTTATTACTTGGGATGTTTTGGTGGGGATGTTCCATACTCTTGATAAATGAGTAACACATTCCTGCTTTCTTATTGGAGTCTTTAGTTATGAGACCCCTTTCACTAAAACCTTCAACTGCCAGGCATTTGGGAATGTAATGCCCCAATGCCCCAATACTCTCTTCATGAGCATACGGAAAGTTATGTTGCTAGACCCGGTTTGGACTACCGTAGTATACTCATAGGATTCCAGCCTTGGAAGTTTAATATTACAACACATTCATAGTAGGCGATTTCTGATTGCATGGACTTCTGTACACCAATAAACATAACGTTCATGGCTCATAGTATCTTAAATGTGCAATGCATATGTGACCTTCCAAATTATAGTTGCAGAAATTGTATCCTAGGAAAAGGGCACCATCCAGCAGATGGCACTCTTTCCATAAAAATATGTAAGAACTGGGTGATTATGGTCATCCTGCCTCTTTGACTTGCATAATTTTGTTTCTTTTTTGACTCCAGGTATTCCTCAAAACACAAAACAAATGAAGCTTTGATTGAATGGATTATTTCCCCAAGAGTCCACATTGCCATATTTATGTATACACTATCAAGTGCGGGAAAGCTATTTCGAAAGGTGCATCAACAATAACTACAAATTACAATACATCGCTAAATTAATAGAATTGGAACTGGAAGGGGGGGAAATGGGTGAAATTAGAGAAAGAATTAAATGATTGGAAAAGAGCTCGTTTGTGGGAGAAAAAATTGATAAAAAAGAGCTTAAAAATTAAGAGATGCCCCCCTCCTCTTAACATTGCATGTTTGGAAGGAATGGCAAAATAAATTACAAATAAATAAAATAGATCCTTTTCCGCTAGAAACCCTGGAAAATAAAGATAAAACATTTAGGAATTTAATCAGGTCCCTGAAAGAGAATGGAGTAAAGAAGGTAGGAGACCTCTTGGAATCCAATGGAGATATTAAAAAATGGGATAAGATAAAGGACAAATGTGGCTCAAAGTATTGGATAGCTTGGTTAGGCTTGTCACAAAGAGCACAAGAAATAAAAAAGAAAGAAACATCAGATGCCCCTTTGGATAGAATAATAGGCTGGAAAATAGAAAAAGAGAAAGGCATTATAGGGGAAATATATAAGGAACTAATAGCCTTATCCTATAATACAAAACATACTTTAGTAGAGGCCTGGAAACAGGATATAAACTTTAATGAAAACTTAGTAAACTCCTGGATCGATAAAACTCAAAAAATTAAACATCTAAGAATCAAAGAAACAAAAGAAAATAATTTCAAAATGGTATAGGACCCCCTCTCAATTGGCTCACATTATGTAAAAAACTTCTAACAAATGCTGGCATAAATGCGGGGAGACTGGTACTTTTTCACGCATGTGGTGCGACTGCTCTGAAATCCAAAAATATTATAATACCGTTAGAGAAATAATAGGGCAAAAACTACATTGGAATAAAGCTCGATTTCTGTCCCTCACCATAGAGGTAAAGGAAGGAAACAATGAATGGTCAGATATATTGAAATTTATGATACATGCCACAATCGCCAGAGGTTGGAAAGATAAAACAAGGTGGGACCTGAAAACCTGGTGGTCATATCTTTCTGAATATTTAATTAATGATTTTATCTATGAAAAGAAAAATAAATATTTGAATATTCAGTCAAGACAAGATTGGTTTAGGAAATGGTCTTGTTTAATCAATAAAACGGAAGGAAAAGATAGGTACAGAACTTTAAATCAGGCCTTCCAGACAATTAAATCAATGTATTGATTCAGGTAACCCAGATGAGGGTGGGAGAGGGTGGTAAGTGTTGGTGGATGCGGTGGGGGGTTTAAAGTGGTAATTTATCTTACATTTTTTAATTAAGAAGGAAATTAAAAAAACAACTACAAATTACAATGCTTGTTGTTTACTTCATCAGCAACAGGATTCGACTTTAAAATGTTGGACTGGGTTAAAAGACTGATTTGACTAGTGTAACTTGATAGATCCACTGATTTGGACAGTGCTACTCAATATGCCTCATCACACAATGGATTGCTGCTAGTTAAGTGACGGGTCAGAAATCTCATGTAATCAGTACCTATTAAGGCAGTTTGCTTCTGCTTACAAGCTGAAAA